AAATTTTGGTCAATGACATGAGACAAAGTATATGTGAACTGCTGTATGAAAAGTGAATTTACTCTGTAAATCTTCACCCAAATCCTAATAAAAAAAAAAAGACATGGAGATGGCGCAGGACTGGGCAACCTTTAGTTATACCTAAGGCCACCATTAGTCAGAACAGACTGCACAGCAGCTAAAAACAACAGCAAACATAGGTGACAAGTGTGGGTGGACCAGGGCATGAGATTCCCAGCAGATCTCAGCACAGACAGTCCCTGGCCCACCAAAACCAAAACCAAACTCGCTGCTGTCAAGTCGGATCTGACTCCTAGTGACCTCTCCTTGGGTTTATGAGGTTTCTGAGGCAATATCACTATGGAAATAGATTGCCCAAACTTCCTTCCTAGGAGTGGCTGGTGGGATTGAATTGCCAGCCTTCTGGTTAGCAGTGAAATGCCTTAGGCACTATGCTACCAGAGTCCCTGGCGCAGAGTAGTGTTATTTGTTGGTCAAGTCAATTCTGACTCACGGCAACCCACATGCGCCAGTTAACTGTGCTCTAAAGGGGTCTCTTGGCTGTAATAATTTTAATAGAAGCAGACAGCAAGACCTTTTCTTCTAGAGGAGCCACTGGTGCGCCCCAGGGGCTCTGAGTAGTCCCTAAAAAATGTTGTTGAAGACTTGAATGAATGAATGATAAGGCAGCAGTGGGCAGGGTTCAAGCTGTGAAAGGCCTCCTACACATGGCCAATAATCACAGAGCCAATAATCACAACAGGTTGAAGAGGATGGATGAGGTAGGAAGCCCTGAAGGTTCATAAAGCATGCTAGCATCAAATCTGTGGTGTAAGAAGAGAATTCCACAGGCAATTGGGACTGGGCTGGGATGGAGGGGAGAGACTCTGGAAATAGCGAGATCAGGTGAGAAGCTCCTGCAGTGCTCTCGGAGAAAGGAGAAGCTGAATTGTGAGTGAGCATTCGGAGGCTGGAGCATTGGGAGCTCTGGTAGCATAGTGCCTAAGGCACTTGACTGCTAACCAGAAGGCTGGTGGTTCAAACCCACCAGCCACTCCTTGGAAGGAAGGTTGGGCAATCCTACTTCCGTAGTGATACTGCCTCGGAAACCCAAGGAGGGGTCGCTATGAGTTGGGTCATTCGGAGGCTGGAGCCTCAGGGAGCCTGCCTACCTCAGACTCGGCCTTGCCCCCAGCTGCCCTCTCCCTGCCCCTCTATTAATTTATTGCTCTCACAACTTGGATGGAAAGGTCCACCATCCTGCAGGCCCTAGGGGCCCTGAGGAAAAGGGATGAGTTCAGAGATGGGTGAGGTTCCGAGGCTTCCTCCTGCCCATAGCAAGGGTCTTCCACCACCCACCCCCAAGCAGCACTAAGGACCTTAGCTTCCTAGGGAACCTTGCCAAGACTTAATTATAATCATTGCATTTGATCAGGGATAAGAGAGGCCAGCCTGGGTGGCTTGGAGCCCAGGCCCTTTGAGCCAGCCAAGTGGGTGAGAGGCTTGACGGAGCAGGGGAGGTGGTTTGGAAGACAGGGCTGTAAGGAAAGAGCCAGGCCACCAGTCCCCACTGAATGGACAGGGAAAGCTTCCCATCTTGTTCCCACAAGGAGCCTCTGATATCCCCTTGTAGGAACAAGGTCCTTACCCCTGTCTCACAGAGCCAATAATCACAACAGGTTGAAGAGGGAAGCAAAAGCTTTATTAAGTGTCGATACCCAAGCAGACAGAGAGAATCACTTCTCCAAAACCCCTGTCGCCTCAAGCAAAGGGGGAAACGAGATCCTCTAGGGAGATGGGAAGGGGGATGACGATCCCGGACGGCCACGAATGTCTCTGTCCTTCTCTTCCCTGGTGACTCCGGACTCAGCAGCCTGCTTCCCAGGGTCGTCTTGCTTCATAGGCTACAGTTCTCAGCCTAAACCAGTTGTGGCAGAGGGTTACGTTTAAAAGAATGTATAGTTGAAAATAACAAACCTGAAGAACATAGCGTCCATAAAGAGGTAGACTATTCTATTTACTTAAAAGGAAGCAAAAGGGAGGGAAAAATGGCAAGTTAGTCCCTTTGTTTAATGTCCACTTTAATCCTGCTGCTAGTCTGTTAGATTCTGCAATTTTCAGTGAGGAGCCCTTCGGCCTCCATTTCAGTCTTCCACAGCCCCCCTGTTTCCAAGGTTTCATGGGAAATGGGAAATGGGACGGTGGTCTCTGTCTTAGGCCACTTCCTGCTGCATGGGGGTGACAAATGGTCAATTCCTCAGAGGGGAAAACTGAGCAAAACTAATAACATCTTGTTGCATAAGTTCGCTAGTATTACGTGTCTTAAAGAGAGAAAATATACAAGTAGCCTTGAGGGTGTTAGACTTTCATTAGAGGCTAATTTCATCAAGCTTGGCACACAAGTACATAGGATTATCATTACAAGGCCCCAAGTCATTATGAGGGTGAGCCTAGAGCGCAGGTTGGGAAATAAGTTCTCAGACAAGCTCCATCCACTTCTTTGGTCCCAGGCCCTTGGTTTTGTCCATTCAGTAACTTTGTGGATAGCATTCAAATTTAATTCAACCTCCCCACAAGTATTTATCCAAGCACAACATGTCCTATTTAGAATAGCATGTACCCCACCATATTTGGCAAAAAAATAA